GGTTCCGTGGAGAAAGGTTTTTCTGCGGACCAAAGAGTGCATAGTTTTGTATGCTGCCTGCATCCCATGGATGGGGCTTTGCTTGTTTTTGCAGACCGGTTGCTGGCATGCCGTGGCCCGGTACCGGGTTGGGGATCCCTGTGCTAGGTGACTCCAAGTTGAGAGTTAGTAAAATCAGAGAACGTATGTTGCTTGTAGTAAAGCTGCTTAGTTGCTTTAAAGTTCTGCATCAGCTCAAATTTGCTTGGTGGTTTCAATAGCTGTGTGACGTCCTGCAAAAGCTGTTTTGTGACCTTTGAATGCAACAGTCAACAACTGCAGCAGTTTGCAGGCAGGCAATGGTGCAATGCACCAACCAGCTCCAGAAGTCATTGCCCACCTCTGCCACACCCATATTAACATAGGAGCTGTCCAGCATCTCAGGTGCTGAAATGGATGGCTACTTGTTATTAGCCATGAGAGCCAGATATGCAATAGCTGTATCCTTTTAAATGGAAAGGGAACTATTATGCGTAGGTCCAACAAAGCTATGTTCTGGAATAGTTATGTATGAATGATAACTATATAAAATGTTAACAGTTTGTGCCTTTTAATCAACACAAAATAAGCTCAGTTATAAAACTCACTTCGACTGAAACTACTTTTCAATTGCCTCTAATTAATATGAACTTATTTAACAGCTCAAATTAGAATATGACTGAGCAGTATGCTTAGCTGTACCCACACATGCTTAATTTTGAATAGCTAGTTTGTACAACTTGATAAGTTTCAAATAGCTAACCAAAATCAATATTAATCAAGATCGGCATATTTTCTAAGTATTACCATTAGGCTTTGATCTGATTTTTCTAAGTGCCTTGTATGGATATAATGATTAAGCAGAAATACTTTGTCTTGAGATGATCTGGTTATAGATGAATTTATTATAAACCTTCAGTATTATAAATACTGATGCGAGAAATTCCAATCAATTTGATAAATGGCACTTCTAAGTGGACATGCTTGGGATTAGCTCTGCCTGTCATCTTAAGTAATTTATGAGCTTGAATGGAAGGTTAGCTCAATTCTTAACACAGGTATTTTTAACAGCCTTGTTAAAGAAAATGATGATTTATAACCATAGATTGGCTTCTGGCTTAAAATGGATCCATAACATTCACCGGTGCTTAAGTTAAGAAAGATTAACGCATCACATTGAATTTGGGAAAATTACTCTTAGTATGGCTTAATTTGGGCATATGTTGCATACGAATAAACTGCAGTTCTCCTGGCTTGCCTATCATCTAAATTATTTACCATGTTTTGCTAAATATAATGAACCAAGAACTATGGCCTTTGAGAATTACATTTTGGTCTAAGGAACAGAGCCTTTAGAGAGTTTAAACAGCGTAAAAGGTGTTTTATTTTGTTTTAAATATACGCAGCCTTGGAACAAAATCAGTAACATAGGAATGTGAGGTTTGGATATCCAGATGAACCTTTCCAATGAAGTGGAGATAAATTCTTCCTTGCCATGACAAAAACCAAGCTTTTTGGCCAGTAAAAAATATTTGAGCTTTGCAAATCTAAGTGAGATTATACATTGAACCATTCCTTATTTTCAACAGGATACAGTTAACAAATTAGAAAATGAACTGAGAACCACAAAAAGTGAAATGGCACGGTACCTGAAAGAATACCAGGATCTCCTGAATGTGAAAATGGCTCTGGACATCGAGATTGCAGCATATAGGTAATTCCTAAAGAAAGAAATGAGCTGAGAAGCATAAATATATTTCATTTCATTTTGGGTTGGGGAAATACATCTTTCCTGTTTTCATATGTATCATACTGGCTGCATTAGCTTGCTTCTGAATTAACCCATTTCCTGGGTTCACAAAACACCTTTAGCTGACCTTCTTTAATTGTCCTTGTTAAGTTAGTACGTACTTGCAGTGTATGTTTTATTTCCCAGTCTTTTTCTTCCTCAGTAGTTTGAAAATAATTTATAAGTCCCATTCAGAGAAAACTGTCGATATACTTAGAGTGTGATGTATATCAGTGCACTGGACTACACATTATATGGAACATGACATCAGTGCTCAAGAGTGACAGTATATATGAACATTTTGCTGCCTAGCAGTTCCAGGCTATAGGCATGGAATATGTGAGAGGCAGTTTGCCTTGTTTTCGTACTATCAGATGAATGCTGAGAGATATTATGCAATACACTGCGACAGAAATATATTGCAAATAATCTCCCACTCTCGCCAAAGAAAAGGCAAAACTTAAGATTATAGTATTACAGAAATTCCCAACAAGTTTCTTGTTTGACTAATGCCCCCATCAGAGTTCAGGCTAACTATGCATTAAACCTGGAAGATACAACTACCAGCATTTCTCTTTGTACTGGGTTGATGCATAGATTTGATGCCTTTGATCTTTTTTTCTTGCTCAGATAATTAGAGAGGGGGCTGCCTAACTATTCAAGAGACACAAACAGAATGTCAATCTGCACCGCCCCTTTTTTGTAAATGTCCCATTTCATTCCCAGAATCAGATTCTTCCATCTCTTTGGGAAAGAGAAATAAAAGACAATCCGAGCCTAAAAAAATAATTTATATTTTGAGCTGGAATCTTACGGGAAAATTAGGATATACTTTTCACTTATTGGTAAATAAATTTCAAAGAGGGGAAGGGCCTCGTCACCTGGCTTTAGTATTAGTTGATTAATCATCACAGCTTCTGTTTATACTTATTTATTCTGTGGGTGCTTTTATTGTTTTAACGTTTTTAATTTTTTTTTTAGAATTTTAGAATTGTAAGCCACTCAGAGTTACTTGGCTGAGTTGGGCGGCTATAGAAAATGAATGAATGAATGAATGAATGAATGAATGAAATATCCATGGCAGTGAAGAAGTGTGCCTTTTGTCTTCTAGAAAACTGCTGGAAGGTGAAGAGACTCGGCTCAGTTTCACAAGTGTGGGAAACATAAGCAGCGGCTACACACAGACAGCTGGAACCTTTGGAAGATCGGCCTACGGGGGTTTACAGAGTAGTTCCTACTTAATGTCAGCTCGTTCCTTCCCTGCCTATTATTCAAGCCATGTGCAAGAAGAACAGATAGATGTCGAGGAGACGATTGAGGCAACTAAGATGGAGGAAGCCAAAGAAACTCCCCCTTCAGAAGGAGAGGAAGAAGAAGGTACTTCTGTGTGGGAAAAAATAAATTCTGAAATGTGTTGGGTTACATTCGCACACCAAGCTTAAAGTAAAGACTTGAAATCAAGGGTGCACAGTGCTAGGGAATTTTACTCATGTATTTTACCAGGTCTACTCTAACCACACACAAAGTGGGATCGAATCTTTTCCCAAACTTTGGGATGGATGAAGCTTGAATTCAAGGTTTGGCATCATCTTTAAGTTTGTAGTCTACCTCTGAATTCAGTGATAAATTTCGTATGGCAATGATCTTTTTTTTTTCCTTTTGCATTTTTGGGGGGGACAAATCTCTCATGCATTGATTTAAAATAAAAGATGAGATAGCCGAGCAAAATGCCAAATGATTGAAATCTTTATTTTTTTTCCCCTTCAAAATGCATGCCAAGATTGATTGTGTAGATTGCGATTGATTGAAATGTGTAGCTCTGCTCGTTTGATTAGAATTAATCAAAGGAGCAAATAACGCCACTATGAATTATTAAAACTATAAGAATAAAAGGGGTTTTGAAGACTAAATAAACACTGAACATAACTTGGATTTGCATATTCTCTTTTCCTCCTTCTTTGCTGAAGATGTATTTTTCTGTCATGTGCTACCGTTGCTTTGATCCATGAAAGCAAACATCGAATTACTCATTTTTTGAAGAATTCTACTGCAGATCAAGGACGTTTTATTTGTTGATATCTTGCCTTTTCCAAGTACAAATATCAAGCGATAGCCAACATGTTCTAACTTTGGATTCAAAGAACCTTAAATGTTGTCCAGCTTGTTGATCTTACCAGGACAAATCCCACTCCATGTAATCTGTGCAATTTAGAAGCTAGAAAGAATTCTGTGTATTACAGCCCAGTTTGGCTTGAGCATGCTGCTTTTTAAGAGATGCAGAAACCTTTTTTTTAAAGATATTATATTGCATATCTTTTCAATACGTTTGAACCAAATTTGTTCCTGGATATTCTCAAGTTATTTTATAATGGTAATCGGACCCTATGCTGTAATCTTATATTCCAAACTTTTGTCTTTTCTCTATTTTTTATTCAGAAGCTAAGGAAGAAACTGAAGAGGGTGAGGAGGAAGGTGAAGGAGAGGAAGGGGAAGGAGAAGAAGAGGCTGAGGAAGCAGACGAGGGGGATAAAAAGGAAGAGGGAGATGAACAAGAAAAATCTAGCGGAGAAGTAACTCCAAAGCAGCAGAAGAAGGATTGATCTGAATCAACTTGTGCGCTGGTTTCCCAGATAGCGGGCTAGAATTGCTACACCGTATATTTAAATTACAAATATGTTCTTGCGTTTTAAATAATTTAATTATTTATCTATCCTTTTTCTTTTTTGATGCAAAGTAACCCGAATGCTTGCAGAGTGTCAGGCTGGCTTACCGCCAAACCATGCATGGTATTATTCTTACGAGCCCCACATCAATGTGCAATTTGGCTGATTTCAAACCTTAATGTCTGAGGGGAAAATAAATTAAGAGAAGTGGAATGTATTGGTGGGGTGGGGGAAAATATGTCTCAGGTTAGACTTGTTCTGGAAACCATGAATGGGAAAAACAATGAAATCTGTGCAATCAAGCTGATCAATAAAGTTACAGAGCTGCATAAACAACTTTCAGTGTTAAGTACTTCTTAACTAATTCCAA